GACAACCATCTACTTAAAAAACTTGTGAGAGGGGCGCCTGGGTGGCTCAGTGGGTTAAAGCCTCTGCCTTCGGCTCAGGTCATGATCCCAGGTTCTTGGGATCGAGCCCCATGTCGGGCTCTCTGCTCCGTGGGGAGCCTGCTTCCCTTCCTCTCTCTCTGCCTGCCTCTCTGCCTACTTGTGATCTCTGTCTGTCAAATAAATAAATAAAATCTTAAAAAAAAAAAAAAAACTTGTGGGAGATGCCTAAAGCAATAGGTACAGACCCAGAATGTTTTACACATGAATTCAGTCAATAAACAGGTAATTCTAGCTTCACAGAAAACCCTGGAGAATAAAGGAAACTCTATAACTCATTTCATGAGACCAGTATATCTCTAATAATACCAGAATCAGACAAGGACTACCTAAGAAAGAAAAACTACAAGTAAATCTCACTCATGAACATGACTGCAAAAATCCTAAACAAAATAATAGCAAGCCAAATCCAGGAATATGTAATAAAAGATAACATAACCAACTTGTGTTTCCTCGAGGAATGAAAGTGTGGGTCAAGACTGGAAAACATATGGGACACCTGGGTGGCTCAGATGGTTGGACGACTGCTTTCGGCTCAGGTCATGATTCCGGAGTCCTGGGATCGAGTCCCTCATCGGGCTCCCAGCTCCATGGGGAGTCTGCTTCTCCCTCTGACCTTCTCCTCGCTCATGCTCTCTCTCACTGCCTCGCTCTCAAATAAGTAAATAAATAAAATCTTAAAAAAAAAAAACTTTTCATTTTAACATATTCATTTTAATCATCTCAATTAAGACCAAAAAAATGTCTTTGATCAAATATCCATAACCACTCAATCAAAACTATTATCAAAGTAGGAACACAAGGTAAAGTCTTTAACCTAATAAGTAGAACAAGTTGTGAGGGTCTTCCAGGAAGGCTCCTTAAAGGGAGGTAAGTCTCTTTTGCCTGCCCACTTCTCTGCTGCCTGGAATGGAGACTAAATGGCTGGTGCTCAGCACCTATCCTGGCCTATGAGGTGACCTTAAGGATGGTGCCAGATACTTAGAATCAGAGAAGAGAAGGACAGAAAGAACCTGGGTCCCTGATGACTTAAGAGACACTACACACAGCTGCATGCTGAGCTGCATGCCTCTGTACTTTTTTAACATGTGAAACTAAGACTTTGTGTATTTAAGATACTTTTACTTATGCAGTCAAACGCCATCTTAACTGATATACTATTTTTATTCAAATGGTACTAGAAGCTCTAAACTGGGCAAAAAGGCAAAATAATAATACTAATAATAATATGTAAGAATGGCTAAGAAACAAATCTGTAATTATTCACATATGACTAGAAAACCTAAAAGAATCCTATAGAAAATTACTAGAAATAAGTTTAGCAGGACGGCCGGAAAAAAAGGTCAAATGCACTCTGTGTACAAGCAAGAATCAGTTAAAAATCTTTAATTTAAGGGGCGCCTGGGTGGCTCAGTGGTTAAAGCCTCTGCCTTTGGCTCAGGTCATGATCTCAGGGTCCTGGGATCGAGTCCTGCATCGGGCTCTCTGCTCAGCAGGGAGCCTGCCTCCTCCTCCTGTCTCTCTCTGCCTATTTGTGATCTGTCAAACAAATTAAAAAAAAAAAAATCTAAAAAAAAAAAAAAGACACCGTTTATACTAGCAACAACAACAAGGTAGCTAGGAATAAATCTAATCTAAAAGTCGAAACTTTTGTATAGAAAATCATGAAACTTTCTGGAAGGATGTTAAGACCAAAACAGGCCAAGAAGAGTAAGAGTAGTTGTTAAGACGTTATTGCTGAAATCAATCCAAAGATTCGATTCAATTGTGATCAAATCTCAACAAGATTTTTTAAGGAACTTACCAACCTAAATTTATACACAGTCACAAGGATCAGAAAGTTATTCCTGAAGAACATAGCAAGAGAGAGAAACTTGTACCCCAGAAGTCAAAAATTATCATAAGGCCACAGTACTAAAGAGAGTGGTCCTGGTGCAGGAACAGACAGATCAATGGAACAGACCTGGAGCCCGGGAACAGACTCACACATATATGTAAACCTAGGTGACGCCGAAGGTTGGTTGCAAATGGTGATGTAGTCAGTAAATGATTCTGGGACAAGTACAGTGAAAATAAAACAAAAGAAATTGGATACCTACCTGACAACGTGCATATAAACTCAATTCTAAATGATGGAGTATTTTTAAATATGAAAGGCAAAACTATTATTTTAAACATATAATGTCTTTAAGAGCTTGTTTTAAGAAAAGATTCGTATAGCAGATTTTTAAATTGACCTTTTCAACTATATTACACAAAAGGGAAAAACATTTTAACCATATTAAAAGAGCTCCTTCCAATGAAAAAAAGGAAAAAAAGGGGGAAAAAAAAAAAACCATGACAAACACAACTGGCCAGTAAATATTTGAAAAGTTGTTCAATCTTTCAGTAATCAGGGAAAGCAAATTAAGACCACAACATGAAACCTTTTTACATCCATCAGGGGGTAAAAAAACTTTAATAAGAGTTGCGAAAAATGTGGATCAACTGAAATTCTCCTATACCTCTGATAAAAGAGTAAGTCAGTACAACTACTTTGAGTACAGTACTGTTGACCTTTGAAAAATGTGGGGCTTGGGGTGTGCACACTGCCCACCCACCATGGTTGAAAATCCAAATATAATTCTCCACTTCCCACAAAACTTAACTACTACTAACCTACTATTAACAGCAAGCCATCCCAGAAGACATCAACAACTGACTAACATGTATTTTGTATGTTATACATATTATATGTTATATTTGTACAATACATAAGCCAGAAAAAAAGAAAATATTAAGAAAGTCATGAGAAAATACATTTACAGTACTGTGCTATATTTTTTGAAAAAATCTGCACAGTAGTGGACCCATGAAGTTTAAACCTATGTTGTTCAAAGATCAACCGTACTTGGTTTTACTAGTAAAGCAGAAGAGGCACAACCTATGTTCTAGCAATTCTACTGATATCCCTTTGCACAACTGTGCCAACTAACAGGTACAAGAACATTCACAGCATACGTGTATGCAGTAGAAAAGAACAGTAAACAATCAAAATGTCAGTCAATAACACAGCAAAACAGCAGAGTGAAAAGAATGAACTCCACCCACATATGCCAACATGGATTAATCTCAAAAGCAAAAGACCCAAGTCAGAGGATATACATGGTGTGATTCCATTTATAAAAAGGCCAAAACCAGCACAATTAAACATACCATTTAAGAATGCCTCCATGTGTGATTAGACTATATAGAAAAGCTTAGGGTGCTTAACAAAAATGTCAAGATAGTGTTTATTTGTGGCTCCTCCAGAGAGGAAGATAAACTGAGTTAGTGCAAACTACTAACTGGCTAAATTCCATTTCTTAAACTGAATGTGAGGCCCTTGTGAGTTCATTTAATTTCTCTGGAAATAATACATATTAGCTATGTATACTCTTCTCTCTTGACAATTTATTACATAATACATTTTAAATGACACAAAAAATATCCAAAACGCTGTTTTAAACTATCTTGTTCATCTTTATGTTTTTTTTTAAAGGCAACTGGTATGTAAAAGTGGTCTTTAAAGTATAATAAAATAATGACATTAGCATCTGATACCTGATACTTTAAAGGCCGATGTTAAAGATATTCATGCACCCTACCCTTTAGAACGCACATCAACTTGTCTTCCAAAGCAACCCTGAAGTGCAAAAAACGTCAACGCTTTGCGCAAAAATATAGACTTTATTGACTTGCAACAGTACAACCATTCTTGTATACAACAAACGACATGCACTCTGCATCTGCTAATGAAATCCTCTAAATTTGTTTTCGTGACAGCGATATTAAAAGACAAATATATTCAGTTAAATAAACACTGAGGGAGGCTATCATTTAATTATGGAACATCAGATTTCTATCTTAAATTGCAGCCTGAAGTGTCAAAAAGAATCATCTTTGCTTAAAGCAACTATGAGATAAAACTGGGACACTTGAGCTAAAACCCGAATTTGATGGTGACAACTCGGGGGCTTTAGGCATATTCACGGATGCAGTTTCCAAATAAAAAGTTGTTTTTCCAATTTCCGCAGCAGTTGGCAGGAATTTTTCTAACCGCTCATTCCATAATATCTCTGGCAAGTCAGTACCAATTCCAGCAGATGAAGTCCCCAAATGCACAACCACATGAGCCAGCGACCGATTCAAGAATCCACGCCCCCAGCCTAAATCTCCTTGAAACAGGTGATCTTCCATGCCTCCCTTATCCCGGGGTGTGGGGAGCAATAAGGGTAAGTTCTGGGAAGTTAAGACGAGTCCGTGAATCACATGGGCAAAACTTTGCTGGGATCTTACAAAACATTCACGTCATCGAACCCCCTCGTTTTTTGATAGGCAAAGTATATCTCAGGGAAAAGCGCTCCTGCTCAGGATCTAACAGCTACTTAAATTCGTCTCCTCACCTAGCTCAGTGATCCTTCCCCTTACCCATTCCCAAAAGCTTAAATTCGTCGCTAACACGGAGGAGGTGAGAAAACTCCCACCTCCTTAGCTTGGCCAGGTTGTGAGGGCTAGAAAGGGTCGTAGAGATAATCAGATCAACCCTTCTAACAGGTGTGAAAACAGAACAGTAAGTGACGCAGGGTGAGCGGTTAAGTCACCGACCCTCTGTCACCGAGCGGCAGGAGCCTGACAAGGGCAATGAAAGATCATTGGCGACCCCACTTCCCGTCTCCAGGACGGCGGGTGTCAAAAACACCCGACACCTCGACTGCAACACAAATCCCGCGCTTCCCACGCAGAACCCGGAAGCCGGTTGGTGGGGAAACTCGAACAGCGGGTGCGCAGCACCGAAAATGCCGCGACAGGGCAAGAACCGAGTCCCGCCTCTTTCTTCCGCATCCGTCGATGGGGAGAAAGGGAAACAGTAAGGTTGCGGCGCCTCCCGCGAGAAGGGGTACCTGAGGCTCGCGCCGCAATCCCTCGCCGCTACCGCACGGGAGCCCAATACCCTGCTTCCGGGATCCAGTCGGGCGGGGAGGCCGGGAGATCGCGGGAGACAGCCACTGCCCCGCCCCATCAAAGCCCCGCCTCCACTGCCCACTCCACGGAGGACGTGGGCAACTTCCGGGACGCCATGCGTCACTAAGCAGCCGATCCCCACTTCCGGAAACAGCCCCCTCCCATCTCCGTCCATTTCTGGGACTGAGCGATTTCGATCGAGATTTCCGAGCTTTTGATTGGTGGAGTGAGAGAGCGGGTCTTCGCTGATTGGTGCCGGCATTTGCCCCATAGACGCCGTGGGGCGCAGAATTTCAGTCGTCTGTTTCCTGCCTGCCGCAGGTCTCGCACGGCGACCATGGTGGAGGTCATGGAATTGCCCAGGTCGCGCGTCAACGCCAGCATGCTAGCTCAGTTCATCGACCGGCCGGTTTGCTTCGTAGGAAGGCTGGAAAAGGTGCGCGCCGTGGCTGCCCTGGGCCCCCTGCTTTGTAGCCGGGTGGAGGGACCCCGTGACCGCCAGGGCCGCAGCCTCAGGGTGGAAAGGTGGGGTGGAGGAGGACAGGCCTTAGAGCAACACTGCGCTCCCAGTTGCTTCGTTTTACACGAGCGGACGTTCTGCGCACTTTTTAGCCACTGCAGCCCATTTTGGCGCCACTTTTATGGCGCGGAATCGTGACGTTTTCGAATACGCTCGTTCTAAATTCTAGCGTCCCCTTTTGTATTTACAAAAAGAAAATTGTAGACCTGACTCACACATTTACCTCCTGATTTTTTAGCTTAGCCAGACTTGGCAACTATTCTGTTTTTCTAGTTTCTTTCTAATGCAATTTTCTTTTCTCAAACTTCACTTTCTCTTTAGTCACTTCGTCATAAACATTCTTCAGTTGTCCCTTCCAGATTCCATAGCAGTCTGTGTTCTCATCCTCGTGTTAGAGTGCAGCGTCTGCACCCTACTGATGAGAAGCAGCCCCAAAGTTTCGGAGTCAGTGAACCGGGAAAGCTGAGGGGGAAAAAAAACAAAAAACTATTATAAAGCCTTAGTAGTTCATTTCAGCCACTCGTCCTCTTCGTTGAATAGGTGTTACTTGACTTCAGAGTAGGCAAATTGGGTAGGAGTGGTGTATGGTTAACTGCTCAAGGCCACAGCAAGTAGCAAAGCTGACTTTCATCCAGACCTGAATGCAGTCTTTACAGCTCAGTAGTAGAGCCCAAATCTTCTGGCAACCAGTTCTGTTAACTTCATCATGCTTATTATTTATTTTTAAAAAAAACCTCTTTACCCCCAAGGTAGGGCTCAAACTCACAATCCTGAGGTCAAGAGTGGTACGCTCCAGCACTGAGCCAAACAGGTGTGTCCCCATCAAACTTAATTTTTAAAACAGACTCTCTGGTGGAATACCTACTATTTAAATCATGAGTGCTAGTAGATCTCACTTTTAGACATTATGAACCCCCTTTAATTTGTTGTTAGGGCAGGGCTGCCAGATTACTAAATAAAAATACAGGACATATTTGTACTAAAAAGTACTGTTTATCTGAAATTCAAGTTTAACTAGGTGTTGTTTGACCAGTTGCGGTTAACACAAGATTATAATCTGAACCAAATTGTTCAAAAACAAATTGCTTTGTGTGCATTGACTAAGTTTGGGTCAATCTCATTTTCAAACTTATAATATTTTTATTTTAATGAGATTTTAAAGTTTGTTTTATGTTTTTGTTTTTTTTAATCCCGTGTTTCTTTTTTAGATTCATCCCACTGGAAAAATGTTTATTCTTTCAGATGGAGAAGGAAAAAATGGAACTATTGAGTTGATGGAGCCCGTATGTTCAAGTATTAATTCTAAGACTCTTGTAGTTAATTCATCTTGCTGATGTTTCTGATTCTTGGGAGTGGATATAAAGGACCACCTCATAAAACTTACCTGCTCTAAAAATTAAACTTTTGTCCTCTTCTTACATTATATATCCCTTTACATTTCTAACCAATGATTTTTTGGGCTCCCTGATTTTTTTTTTTTTAAGATTTTATTTATTTATTTGACAGAGAGAGACACAGTGAGAGGGGGAATACAAGCAGGGAAAGTGGGAGAGGGAGAAGCAGGCTTCCCGCAGAGCAGGAAGCCTGATGTGGGACTTGATCCCAGGGCTCTGGGGTCATGACCTGAGCTGAAGACAGCCGCTTAATGACTAAGCCACCCAGGCGCCCCTTGGGCTCCATGATTTTTTAATACATCCCTTAACTGGGTGACATTTCCTATTCCTATAAAAGACCAAAAGAATCACATTAAAAAAAAAAACCTTTTAAATTATTTTTTCTTTCAAGAGCTTAACATTTTTAAAATTCTATTTTCTGTTTTTGTTTAAGTGTACTTTTAGTTATCACTTGTTTTTACATTTTACATTTGTTGTACTCCAAAAAAAATTGTTTTTTTTTTTTTTTTAATGAAGATAAATCCATGTGTTGTTTGGTTAATATATACAGATTACACTGCACAAGATAAGAAAATAGAAAGTTCCTTTCAATGGGTCTTTTTAAACAAATTACTCCTTGTAGAAATCCTAGACATTCTCATTATCCTTAGTGATTTTGTCTTCAACTTAAACATTTAACTGGATCTTTGGACCTGAAGGTACTGCTAAAGGTAATAGGACTTGACATGCTGACATTAAGTACTCAAACATTTTTAACAACTTACAGTTCAGTTTTTGCATTGGTAAATTTTAAGCTGATTTTGTTACATGAAATGAAAGATTAGTAAACTGTAACAATTTTCCAAGTTACCAACTAGAAATATGACAACACCAATTTGACAATTTGTCCTTTGTGTTAGCTTGATGAAGAAATCTCTGGAATTGTGGAAGTAGTTGGAAGAGTAACAGCCAAGGCAACCATTATGTGTGCATCATATGTCCAGTTTAAAGAAGATAACCATCCTTTTGGTAAATAAAGCATTCTGTATTAAATACTTTCATGTAATTAGGAGGAAAACAGTTTTCTTAACTTGAGATGTCTTGGTCTTGAGTCTCAGTCCTGCCATCTTTCAGTTACTATAGAATTTTCTGATCCCAAAGGAAAATGAGAGAACATTTTGGCCCCCTTTTAAGTAATGCTTGTATATGCAGGAAACTAATTAAAGATTAGTATTTGTGGGAAGAGAAACTTAAAACATGGCAAACAAAAATAATGTTAATAGTTTTTTTGTTTTATCATATGTATCGAAAGCATCAAATAATGCATAACACCTAAAACCAGGCAAGAATTGCCTGTACAATGGATATTAAAATGAATAGTTGCCTATTGCCCATGTCTTTTATTTTTTAGAGCCACAGGTAAATAGCTGTGATGATCCCTATCTATTTTAGAAGACAGATTATGAAAATAAGTTGATCTCTATAAAAGAGAAAGAGGTAGAAAGCTTTTAGATAATAAATGATGCTACATCTTTCCATTGTAGATTAAATGTTTGACAAAATGTTGTGTTTTTTTTTTGTTTGTTTTTTTCAGATCTTGGACTTTACAATGAAGCTCTGAAAATTACTCATGAGTTCCCTCAGTTTTTTCCTTTGGGGGTGGTGCAATATGATTGATCTTGATAAACACATTGAAGACTGTTACAGGAAGCCCCGGATAGTTGAGGGGAAGATTTCTGTGATTTTTAATATTTAATTTGTTCTCCTTTTAATTTCATTTACCTAACCTTATTAGATATTGCAATATCCCACTTTTGATGGAACCTGTCTGTATACTGCAAGTTAATTCCTCATAAAGAATCACTTCTCCAGTGTACGGTCAGACCAGATGTAAGAAAAAAGCAGTTGCCTTGAGTTTAGTTTTGTGTTTTATTAATAAAAACTGAAACAGACATACTGTTGATCATTTCATTCTTATTCTTTTAGTCATGTATTCAAACACAAACTTGGAATTTTCATAGTGTAAGGTTAGAACTTAAACCTACCAAATGAAATACTGGGCCACATGTGTAAAGAATTTACTTGCTACCTCATAAACTACATTATGTTAATTACTTCCTTGACACTGAAAAAAAGTGATTTTAATTTATTAAAAGAGCAAACAGAATCCTTTATCTTTTATAATTTGTGAGAACCTACATAGAATTCTCCAGAGAATCAGAACCAAAAGAACCATATATATCAGAACTATATATATGAGATTGTTACAGGAATTGACTTATGTGGTTATGGAAGCCAAGGAGTCCCAAGGTCTGAGAATCAGGGGAGCTGATGTAACTTGCAGTCCAAGGTTGAAAACCTGAAGAGTGGGAGGCCACTGGTGTAAATCCCAGAGTCTGAAGACCCAAGAACCAGGAGCTCCAATGTCTGAGGACTGGAGGAGGTGGACATCCCAGATCTGGCAGAGCAAATTTGCTCTTCCTCCACCTTTTTGTTCTATTTGGGCTATGAACATATTGGATGATACCCACCTATTTGGTAAGGGCCTACTGATTCAGACACTAATCTCTTCTGGAAATGCCCTCACAGACACACCAAGAAATAATGTTTTACTGGCTATCTGGGTTTCCCTTAGCTAAGTTGACATATAAAATTATCACAGTACCTCTTTCTCAGGATTTTGAAACCACATCTACTAATGCCAAATAAGGGATATCTAATCATTAGAACAGATGATGAAATCATTTGATCTTTCTTCTTCCTTTCAACTGTCATTCTTAGCATGAAATTCCTGTTTATTTGTACTTCATACCACTAAGTAACGCTGGGGATGGGCCAGGTTGGGATGTGGCAATTATAAAATAGAGAGTAAAGCAGAATAACTGGTAACTTATATGGCCAGTCAAGTTTTATGGCTTGATTTAATTTCTTCAGTTAGGAAATGAACTAATTCTAAATTTAGATTATAAATCTTACCGAAGATATTTATTTTATGGACACCTGGCTGGCTCAGTTGCTAAAGCATGCAACTCTTGCTCTTAGGGCTGTAAGTTCAAGCCCCATGTCGGGTGTACAAAATTTGAAATTGATAGTATCTTCAATTTCAACTTTTATCCCAAAATAGTCTCCAAATTACTTAAGGAACATTGCCATAGCCACTTAAAGTAAAACA